CTGTAGGCAGTGATTGACTGGCAGGGAAGTTATTTGGACTGGGTAAAGGTTATTTTTTTTTTTTTTAACTTAATTTTTAACTTTTAAACAAAATTTTTTAACTAAAGTGTATTTTAAAACTAGTTAGCCTAACACCTAATCCCCCAATTCCCCACTAACCCCCTCCCCCCAGCTAGCTAAATATATAATTTTAAAAATATTTAAATTAATTAATTAAATAAATTTAACCCCTGAAGGTTAAAAAAAAAAAGAATCAGATGACGATAAAATGTAATCCCTGCCAATTGATCACTGTAGTCAGTGATCAATTGGCAGGGAAGGGGTTAATTCTTTATTAAAAACAAGTTGGTGTTAATAGTTTTATAGATTTTAGTAGTTGTCATTTTAAACCATGGTTGGTCAACATACCGAAGGGCCAATTCCTGAAACGTAGGCGGGACTGTACAGAAATTGAACATTATAGGAAACAGTCAGAGCTTTTAAAAAATCAGTTTATTGAAAAAGGATATGACTTAAATTCATTACAAAAAGTTTGTGAGGAAATAGAAAGAGAACCAAAGGACATACTATTAAAATATAGAGCAAAAAAGAAAAAGAGGAGTCTGTTCCTACTACCAATATAAGGTACACACAAACCGTTAAAAATCTGGAAGATACTTTATTTTTAGATGGAGAACATAAATCTATAAAAACCCCAGCGATGGCCATCTGACTAAACACAAGTCAATTGCGGCAGTCAAAGCAAGGAGCACACAAGAAAAAGGAAAAATAAAGATAAATGTGAACAAATAAGATAATATAATAGATAGAGTTTACATATCGCATATCACGATCATATCATGGGTATATGATAGTATCTGTAAATCCAAAATAGGGTACAGTACAAAGAATCCCACTGAGTGAGGCTGACAATTTCGTTCAATAACATATCTATGTGTCAAAAATGAAATAAAATGCTCAGTGTCAGTCTAGTATAACTACAGGGGATACTTCTATCTACTATCAGGATGTCGTCGAGGTAATGGAATACTGCTATTCCCTTCTTTCTGAGCAATGCGATAACCATCACCAGGATCTTTGAGAAGGTCATTGGGGCTGTGCTGATTCCAAACAGTAAAGCCTGGAACTGGAAATGTTGTTCGTTTAGGTAGAATCTGAGGAACCTCTGGTGATGATGAGCTATCGGAATATGGAAGTAGGTGTCTTTCAGATCTACTGATATTAGCCAATCTCCTTGACGTACCACCGGTAAAGCGAAGAGATTCCATCCTGAATTTTCTTATCCTCAAGTGAATATTGAGTTGATGTAAGTCCAGAATGGGTCTCCACTTTCCTCCAGGTTTCTTCACTAGGAAGAGAGGGGAATAAAAGCACTGAAACTTTTGCCTTTCTGAAACAGGAACAATCACCCGTTGTTGTAGAAGATCTGTACTGGATCAAAGCGTTTCTTTTTATTGAATTCAGGGGCAAACTGGTCCTTATAAATCTCGATCGGGGAATGTCCATAAATTCCAGAGAATAGCCCTCTGTAATTATGGACCTCACCCAATTGTCTGGGATCTCTGCCCAAACCCTTCGGAAATGCATGAGTCTTCCTCCTACCTAAGGTGTTTGGGCGTAGTAACCTTCAGAACTGTTTGGAAGGACGAAAGGAAGAGGTGTTAGTCTTTTCTCTGGTGGACTTGCTGGTTTGACCACTTCTTCAATAGGTAGGTCTGTAGCATTCACGCCCTGGCCTGTTAGCCTTACTGTCTCTATAGGAAGGGTGTTCCCTATAAGAACAACGTTCAAGTGGAGGTCTTCTTGGACGTCTATCTTGCAGAAGCAGAACGTGCTTGACATCCAGTGCCCTCTTGATGGCTTCTTCAAGGGGTTTCCCAAACAATACTTCACCCAAAAAAGGAAGGGAACATAAGTTATGCTTTGAGGTCATATCAGCCCCCCATGATCTGAGCCAAAGGGCACGCCTGGCTGCAACCGAGAAAGCCATAACCTACGACATAACCTTATTCATATCCGTAGAGGCTTCTAAGAGCCATTCACTGGCTAGTCTCACCTCCCATAGGAAATCTGCAATATGTTGCCTTCTGACACCTTTGTCCAAATGATCTTCTATGTCCAGGATCCAGGGCCGGATTAACATAGGGGCTGATGGAGCTGCAGCTCCAGGCCCAGGCCCATCGAATAAGCCAATTTTAAAAAAAATTTTTTTTTTTTTTACACAGTACTCTTAGGTTTGCCACCTTTGGTATTTTACCAGCACAGCCGGCATTTGAGGCTGCCTGGCCGTTCCAGTAATGCAGTAATACCAGTAATACCAGAAATGCAATTGCAGATATTTTTCTCAGTATAAATGGAGATTACTCTGCAATACCAGCACCAGCCAGCAGGGGTCGCTGTGTGTGTGTGTGAAGAGAGGTAGGGCTAGGAGGTTACAGCATATCCCTCCCTGCCTCTCTCTACTCACTGATCCGCTGGGGAGCAGCTACACAGCACAAAGAGTTCAGACAGCAGCTCCCAGCCTGCAGAGACAGACTACAGCTCAGAAAACATGGGGATACTGAGACACTAGGGGACACTGAGACACTAGGAGATGCTGTGAGACATAGGGTCATTGGGAGACACATTGGGACATGGGGACACTAGGGACACAGTGTCTACATGTCTCCCAGCTAATGTCCCTAGTGTCTCAGTGTCACCATGGCTCCCATTGTCCCCTAGTCTCCCAGAGTCTGTGTCCCCATGTTTCTTAGTGTCCTTAGTGTCTCATTGTCCCCATGTCTCCCAGTGTGTCCAAATATCTGTCTTCCAGTGTCCCTAGTGTCTCAGTGTCCCCATGTCTCCCAGTGTCCCTATATCTCCTAGCCAGTGTCCCTAGTGTCTCAGTGTCCCTGTGTCTCCCAGTGTCCCCTAGTCTCCCAGTGTCTGTGTCCCCATGTCTCTCAGTGTTCCTAGTGTCTCAGTGTCCCCATGTCTCCCAGTGTCCCCAAATATCTGTCTACCAGTGTCCACATGTCTCCCAGCCAGTGTCCCTAGTTTCTCAGTGTCCCCATGTCTCCCAGTGTCCCTATGTCTCCCAGCCAGTGTCCCTAGTGTCTCAGTGTCCCAATTTTTTCAGTGTGCCCATGTCTCCCAGTGTCCCCATGTCTATGTCCACAAGTTCCCCCATGCCTCAGTATCCCCAAGTGTCTCAGTGTCCCCATGCCTCCTAGCCAGTGTCCCTAGTGTCTCAGTGTCCCCATGTCTCCCAGTGTCCCCATGTCTCCCAGAGTCTGTGTCCCCATGTCTCTGTGTCCCTAGTGTCTGTGTCCCCATGTCTCCCAGTGTCCCATGTCTGTATCCACTAGTGCCCCCTGTCTCCCAAAGTTTTTCAGTGTTCCCATGTCTTCCAGTGTCTCTCTGTCACCCAGCCAACTATTTTGGGATTGTAAATAGTTTTTTGTACTTATTTGGGAATTATTATTATTATATTTTGATACATTATCAATAAACTTTTCCTTTTTTCTTTATAATGTAGCCTTAAAACGGACTTCTATGTAAAAACGGACTTCAATAAAATGGCGGCTTAGTAACCGTCTACATTATGAAAGTATTTACAACTGGGAAAGTTGGAAAAGGGAATGGTGCACATACCTCTGGGCTGACGTCATCACGCAGATATCGTCATGGCCCGAGGATGCATAACTACATAAGCACCGGGAACAGGATGATGACGAAAACGGAAGTATACATCGGCACAATGGGAACCAATTGTCAGGACCTGCTCTGCTCTGTTCTGATGTCTGACCATGGCTTCTGGTATCCAGTACTCTTCTTACAATTCTTGTTTAGTTGTTCTTGTTTTTTTCTGATCTCCTATTCTATGTCTGGTTTTCTTCATGCTGGGTTTTCTGGGTTCATTCGTTTATTCTGTTCCTGGAATTTCCAGTCTCCTGGATTCCTTTAAATGTTTGTTTTTATGTTGCCACACCAGTTCTGTTTCCATTAATCCTTTTGTTTCAGTTGGTTCCTGCAGGCAGTTGTTCCAAGTCCTCTGCCCTTTCTTGCAGGTAAGTGCTGTGTGTGTTTTATTATTGTTTATTTAGTCATGCATATCTAGGCAATTAGGACCCACCGTATTTGAAGTACTTTGGCGCAGTGGTGGGCTGCATACATCCTGGCCATTTATGTATGTCTAAATCTCCAATGTTTTACATATATAGTACTTAATTATTTCTCCTCTTGTTTTGCCTTATATATCTTGTCTTGTTTTATTTTGTATTCCCAGTCCTTGTACAGTCCTGTCCTGCCTCTGTTCTGTTAATGTTTCCCTTATGTATTGTGTACATGTTCTGGGTTTTGCTTTCTAACCTTCTCTGGGTCTGGGTTCTACTAGTTTTGTCTTGTTTTCTTGTTTGGTGCCTATTCTAGTCTTATCTTGTTTCTAGTACTGAATACCTCTCAGCATTCATCTGCTCTGGCTTCCGTATAAGCTGCAACAGGGTTCTGGTTTGTGGCCGCACAAACGCTGGTGCTCTGCACCAGTCCCCACTTATCCACTACCATGCTGAAGACTCCTCATCAACTAAATCAGGCACATGGGTCCCGGTCTACGGACTGCCACCCGTGACACCAATTAAGAAAAGGACGCCAAACTTTACTATTTATAAATGGAACTATGGAGGATAGCAGAACACAACCACTTCTGATGAAGGCAAATAAGCTGAAACGCGTCAAGTGGCAAGTGGACTTTTCTTTATTTTATTTAGTCTGGTTTTATTTTGTTTGTTTGTTCCAATAAATTGCATTTTATCACCTATAACCTGCAACCTGACTGCATGTGGTGGAATACTGAAATACCAAGTGGGAACAACAACATCCAGACCAATATTTGCCATGTCTTCTCAGGGGGGCCTGATGTGTGCTGGGGATTACATAAGAGTTATTCAGGCTGCCAGTCGGGTTCACCTTATGGTCTCTTTTGTTGTTTGGAGTAGTCGTACTCCTTGTCATCAGTTAATCTAACATTCCTGTATGATGAAGTATTCTTTCATGGGGGTTCGGACTTTGTGTGGGCCCAATTCGGTCATGAGGTCAGCTCGCGGCAAGTGGTTCCCTGTTGTGCCGCCTTTGTATGTTTCCCATTTGTCCCATGCTATTTCCCAATATCTCCGGTACTTTTTATGTGGTTTGTTGGGAGGCGTGTTTTGCCGTCTCATTGTGGTTTCGAAGTGGCCAGATTGGCTTATTTGTTGTATGCACATGGAGATGGAGGGTATAGTTTGTGATAGCCAGTTTTGTGCTAGGGCACCCAGGGCTGCTATATTTATATGGAAGATAAGATATCTGTCTGGTTTGGGTAACGACTCAGGGATATCGAAGAGCATGTAGTGTTCTAAATTATGAGGTAAGGTGCACCCTGTGCTGTCTGTGATGAGTTTGGTTATGTCTTTCCAGTATTGTTGTAGGCGTGGGCAAGTCCACCATATGTGTGCCATTGTCCCTGTGCCTGATTTGCATCTTCAGCAGTGTGTTGGGAGAGTTTGGTTATATTTGTGTAGCCTTATGGGCGTGAGATACCATCTATATAAGAGTTTTTTGGCGAGCTCTATATGTTTTGAGCATAAAGAGAAGGTTTTGGGGGTTAGGATCATGCGTTCCCATTCTGGTTCAGTAAATGTTTTGTGGATCTCTGTTTCCCATGCGTTGATAAAGTTGTGTTCGTGCAGTTTGCATTTTGTGGGTAGTGTTGTGTAGATAGAGGATATGATTTTCTAGTTTTTCTTCTTTTAAATATGGTCTCCTCCTTTACTGTGTTGATTCCCTTTATGTATTTAAATGTTTCTATCATATCCCCCCTGTCTCGTCTTTCCTCCAAGCTATACGTGTTAAGTTCCTTTAACCTTTACTTGTAAGTTTTATCCCGCAATCCATGAAACAGTCTAGTAGCCCTTCTCTGAACTCTCTCTAAAGTATCAATATCCCTCTGGAGATACGGTCTCCAGTACTGCGTACAATGCTCCAAGTGAGGTTTCACCAATGTTCTGCTAGCATTTCCTGCTGATCTATTACATTGTCTGCCTACCTTTAAGTCATCAGAAATAATCACCCCTAAATCCCTTTCCTCAGATGTTGCGGTTAGGACTCTATCAAATATTCTGTACTCTGCTCTCGGGTTTTTACGTCCAAGATGCATTATCTTGCACTTATCCACATTAAATGTCAGCTGCCACAACTCTGACCAATTTTCTAGTTTACCTATATCATTTGCCATTTGGCTTATCTCTCCTGGAACATCAACCCTGTTACAGATCTTAGTATCATCAGCAAAAAGACATACCTTACCATCAATACCTTCTGCAATATCACTAATAAAAATATTAAAGAGAATGGGTCCAAGTACAGATCCCTGAGGTACCCCACTGGTGACAAGACCATGCTTCAAATATACTCCATCGACTGCAACCCTATGTTGCCTGTCACTCAGCTACTGCCTTACCCATTCAACAATATTGGAATCCAAACTTAAAGATTACAGTTTATTGATAAGCCTTCTATGTGCAACAGTGTCAAAAGCCTTACTGAAATCTAGGTAAGCAATGTCTACTGCACCACCCTGATCTATTATTTTAGTTACCCAATCAAAAATATCAATAAGATTAGTTTGGCATGATCTCCCTGAAGTAAACCCATGTTGTCTCTGATCTTGAAATCCATGTTCAGCTGTTTAGTAGATAGCTCCAAAATGTAATATCCTTATGTGTGATGGGCATAATTAAGGACAATCCTTCAAAAGGATACTAAATTAGGGGACAACCTTCTAAACAGCTAATAGTCCAACATTAAGGAAAAAAAGCCCTTTTCTTAATTTTGGAAGGAATATAAAGAAAGAAATTAGGGATTAGAAATTATATTAGAAATATAGGGAGGCGGCGATGGCAGAGAGGGTCCAAATGAAAGAGGGAGGGGAGATAAAATCTTCACCTTACAAGCATGCTCTGTCACCAGGGTACTGTACTTACTGACAACAGACATTTTTACACACAGATTTAACATAAGACAACCCAGAACTAAGCTCCTGGTTGCCCAATTCATGTTTGCCAAGGTTGGAACTAGCCCCCAGCTCAAAAGTAGATATTTCTACGTATCTGCAGCATTTCAAGCAGAAACATTGCACATACAGATTGTACCTATTATAAGCACTTCTACATGCAGACGTTTTCATGGTGGTTGGGGTAACTTATTAAATGTAAATTACTTTTATCAAAGTTTCAGAGCTTCACAGACAATACTTTGTTATTTTGTGAAAGTGCATTGATTCTAAAGAATACACTTATTTCATGTATATTGTTTGCTATGTTCTCTCTTTTGATTTTATGCTAGACCAGGGGTATGCAACCTTTTAGAAGTACTGTGCCAAAACAGGATCTTGAAGTCCCTTGGACTGCGGTGTGCATGCTGCTTGTGTTATTTCTAGATGCTGCAGTTGCGCTGTAGAGTTGTATTTGTGTGTATGGGCTATTGTATTGTATATGTTCACGAGTAGTTTGTAGTATTGTGTATGTTAGATATGAATGTGGGCTGTATAAGAAGGTTGCTTGTGGAATTGTGTGGATGATATGTCACATTGTTTGTTTGGGGGGCAGGTGTACATGTGAGAGGCTGCTTGTGGGGTTGTGAGCATGTATGTGGATTTTCAGTGGTGTTGTGTTTGTGGGGACTGTGTGTGGGCTTTTTGCATTATTTGGGTGAGAGGGAGACTGATTCTGAAGCTCTGTGAACAACTAGCAGTGTGTTCCCCTGGCTCCAGTTGGGAACGGACTGGCCAAGGACAGGTCAATAGCATGGGCTGCGAAAGCTGCTACGGGCTTTTCTCCTCTAGTGCGGATTCCTGTTCTCAAATTCTGGGAGGAATTTAAGTGCTGCAATACGTAAATTAAGGATTGTACCTCACTCCTGCAATCACCACTCAGGTTGCACTAGCAGATATCTGAAGTCCCACTGGGACCCATGATAGGCCAGAATATGTTTGGCGCTAGCAGCCATGGTTGCTGGCACCTGTGCAAGACTATATTCCCCCATACAGAGGTGTAACTAAAAACGACTGGGCACCAGTGCAAAAATTGCCCTGGGGCCCTCCAATGTGTCTCATTCCCCCACAGCTCCCCAATGCGTCTCATTCCCCCCAGTCCCTCCACGTGTCTCATTCTCCCTTCCACATTCCCTCCATGTGTCTTTTTCTCCCTCTCCAGTTCCCTCCCAGCCGATCCACGTGTCTCATTCCCCCCATTTCTTCCATGTATTTAATCCCCCCAATACCCTTCATGTGTCTCATTCCCCACATGTGTGTCATTCACCCCCAGCACCTCCATGTGTCTCTCCCATACCATCCCCTCTTTATGTCATTCCCCACCCTTAGCCCCTCCACGTGTTTCATTCCCCCCAGCCTTCCATGTGTCTCTCCCCATCCCCTCCATTTGTCTCTTCCCCACCCCGTGTTTCATTCCCTCCCAAGCCCCTCCAACTGTCTCTCATACCACCCCAGCCCCTCCATATGTCTCTCCCATACCCCCAGCCCCTCCATGTGTCTCTCCCCTATCACCCCAGCCCCTCCATGAGTTTCTCCCAACCACCCAGCCCCTCCATGTGTCTCTCTTCCATCCCCTCCAGCCCCTTCAAGTGTCTCTACCTCTCCTCACAGTGTGTCCATATGTCTCTGCTACTCCATCCCCACAATCCGTCTTTCCCACCCCTCCATTGCCTCCATGTTTCTCTCCCTCAGCCACTCCGTGTCTCTCCCACTCCCCAGCCCCTACTTGTGTCTTTCTCAACCCCAAGTCCCTCCATGTGTCTCTCCCCCATCACCCTTTCCTCCTGTACATGCTAACTCCATGGTCAAGCAGACCAAAGTACCCAGTCTGACAGGAAGTGCTCTCTCAGTGAGCTTTACCTGCCAGACTGCGGTCCGCTTGGCAACACTACTGTGCAGTCCCCTCCTGACAGTCACCTGACCACTGCGCACCTCACACTTGCCCTCAAGTTATGCCAGCCCATGGTTGCAGAAGTCGACTACCTACATGCTGACAGGGCATGTGGCAAAACCGACCTCGCCACTGGGCATTGGAGAAGACTGATTGCCAGCCTCCTGCCATGTGACTATGGCCCCAGGGATGTATTGCCCTTTCAAGACATGATTTGGGCATAATGGATTTGTGTTGTGCTGCTGCTGGCCCTTTAAGAACCATCTGGGGACATACTGTGGAGTTACTGGGTGGCCACCATTTCATGTTTCAGAGGCACATGGTGAGAACAATGGATGAAGCACAAGGTGAGAACAATGGATGGCGGCCATTTTAACTCACAAACACTGTTTGGACTTTTCAACACGGTGCCATCTCGCCGGTATTTGGTGCACAGAGACATCGTGCAGTGGTTTTGGACTATACAACAGGGGACACATTATACAGTAATTGTTTTTCATTTAGCCTGTATATGTTCTGTGGAATCTGCATTAAACTGTATCTTCCAAAGTACTGAACGGATCTTGGTGAATTTTGGATATGTGGTTCACCCAGATCCCCCGGTTCCAAGGAAATTTATGGGGCTATTGCATGTTTTGGGGTCCCTGTGATGTGTTTTATAATACTGTATTTCTCTGTCTGTGATAATTAGATTAACCATTGTGTTCAGTAATCATATCACAGGCAGAGGGGAGGATTTTGTGTGGGAGTGTCTGTGTGTATTGTACGGATTGATTGGCTGTGTTCCAAAACCCTGTGGGCAGTACTATATTTGTGGATTGTGAATAAAAGAGGCTGTATATGCCAGTCCAGTCAGTTCTGCTTGACCTCAAAACGAAGTGTCGTCTCGTTATTGGGGAAATTGGATTGTATGCTGATTGCCAGGAGTGTAAGCTGATTGTATGCTTTTCCTGTTCAGCTGCTTACAGCATTCATATGCTTGAGAGCATTTGTATGCTTCTCCGGTTCGGTGGTTGTGGTGTCTGCTGCAGTGCTTGGAGTCCTCAGAAAGCGCTAGGAGCATCCTTCAACGGAGGTACCCAGTCGGGGTGCCAGGTTATCCGTTACAGAGCCCATATGAGCGCCCATTTAATAGTGCAACCTTGTCCCTTTAAAAAAAAGGGTAGCTGGAACTAGTGCTGGGAGGAAGTGACGGCTGGTCAATTCCAGCTTACTCCCTATGGGAGGGAGGAGACAGAGTGCAAACCATGAGGAGGGGAGAGCCAGCTGATTCCCATCAGCCCCAGCCACACTTCTGCACCCAAAGGTAACAAACAGGAGAGTGGCTGAAAAATTAGCTGGATGTGTGTGTGTCAGTATGTATGTGTCAGCAGGGCCGCCATCAGGGGGGTGACAACCATGATGGTTGTCATGGGCCCGGCGGTCCTGTGGGGCCTGGTTCTGCTCTGGCAGTCTCGGACCCCACATTCCCTCTCTGCACACATAAATAGCGAATATCCCTGTTACCGCAGAGGAGG